CTGGGACACTCAATCGAATCTCACCTGAGAAATATTTAGCTAGATACCACTATGTCATGTTTCAATTCTAAATATCTGAGATGTAAATGTGCAGGTATACAATCTCTAGTGGAAGATAAAGCCGTGACGTCTCTTCTCTGAAACACTCGATCAAATCTCACCAGAGCAATATTTAGCTAGATACCACTATGTCTTGTTTCAATTCTAAATATCTTAGATGTAAATGTTCAGGTACACAATCTCTAGTGGAAGATGAACCCATGACGTCTCTTCTCTGGAACACTCGATCAAATCTCACCTGAGCAATATTTAGCTAGATACCACTATGTCTTGTGTCAATTCTAAATATCTTAGATGTAAATGTTCAGGTACACAATCTCTAGTGGAGGATAAACCCGTGACGTCTCTTCTCTGGAACACTCGATCAAATCTCGCCTGAGCAATATTTAGCTAGATACCACTATGTCTTGTGTCAATTCTAAATATTTGAGATGTAAATGTGCAGGTATACAATCTCTAGTGGAAGATAAACCCGCGACGTCTCTTCTCTGGGACACTCAATCGAATCTCACCTGAGAAATATTTAGCTAGATACCACTATGTCTTGTTTCAATTCTAAATATCTGAGATGTAAATGTGCAGGTATACAATCTCTAGTGGAAGATAAAGCCGTGACGTCTCTTCTCTGGGACACTCAATCGAATCTCACCTGAGAAATATTTAGCTAGATACCACTATGTCTTGTTTCAATTCTAAATATCTGAGATGTAAATGTGCAGGTATACAATCTCTAGTGGAAGATAAAGCCGTGACGTCTCTTCTCTGAAACACTCGATCAAATCTCACCAGAGCAATATTTAGCTAGATACCACTATGTCTTGTTTCAATTCTAAATATCTTAGATGTAAATGTTCAGGTACACAATCTCTAGTGGAAGATAAACCCGTGACGTCCCTTCTCTGGAACACTCGATCAAATCTTACCTGAAACAATATTTAGCTAGCTACCACTATGATTTGTTTCAGTTCTAAATATCTTAGATGTAAATGTTCAGGTACACAATCTCTAGTGGAAGATAAACCCGTGACGTCCTACTCTGGAACACTCGATCAAATCTTACCTGAGCAATATTTAGCTAGATACCACTATGTCTTGTTTCAATTATAAATATCTGAGATGTAAATGTTCAGGTATACAATCTCTAGTGGAAGATAAACCCGTGACGTTCTCTGGAACACTCGATCAAATCTCACCTGAGCAATATTTAGCTAGATACCACTATGTCTTGTGTCAATTCTAAATATCTGAGATGTAAGTGTGCAGGTATACAATCTCTAGTGGAAGATAAACCCGTGAAGTCTCTTCTCTGGAACACTCGATCAAATCTCACCTGAGCAATATTTAGCGAGATACCACTATGTCTTGTGTCAATTATAAATATCTGAGATGTAAATGTTCAGGTATACAATCTCTAGTGGAAGATAAACCCGTGACGTTCTTCTCTGGAACACTCGATCAAATCTCACCTGAGAAATATTTAGCTAGATACCACTATGTCTTGTGTCAATTATAAATATCTGAGATGTAAATGTGCAGGTACACAATCTCTAGTGGAAGATAAACCCGTGAAGTCTCTTCTCTGGAACACTCGATCAAATCTCACCTGAGCAATATTTAGCTAGATACCACTATGTCTTGTGTCAATTCTAAATATCTGAGATGTAAATGTGCAGGTACACAATCTCTAGTGGAAGATAAACCCGTGACGTCCTACTCTGGAACACTCGATCAAATCTCACCTGAGCAATATTTAGCTAGATACCACTATGTCTTGTGTCAATTATAAATATCTGAGATGTAAATGTGCAGGTACACAATCTCAAGTCAATAAAAGATCCCAATAATTCGATCTCTCGATTAAATCTTATACACTGGGTCATTAATTATTTACCTAGATATAATTCCGAGAGCATTCTGTTTCGAAATTCCCCATCAAGAGGTTTTTCAAATTGTGAAAAGACATTTCAAATTTTAATTTATACAATTTTTTAAAATAATAATTTCGACTTTTTTAAATTTTGGTTTAAGCGCATCATTATTTAAAATAGTTCCGGATTACCTAGAAATCTGATCATTTACATACTTGCTCAACCCCGATGGAAGTGCAAGTGTACGACATTTCAGATTACAGGTGATCTGAAATTATCTAAAGTAAAAATAAAATAAGTTGCAAAAATTTGATTTTAAAAATACAGAAATAGATTCAATTATTGTATATTTATAAAAAAATAATAACACATCTCAAAACTTTTCTAATAGATAATAAAATTGGCAATATGTAATTTTTTTTATTTGTAATTAACTTCAAGATAATCTTTTTCATATCAAATTGTATAAATTAATATTTAAAGTAATATATAAATAGTCCAAACCAAAATATGTAAATATAATAATGTATATAAACAATACAGCATAGTTTCCTTTTCTAAAAACTTTACCTGTAGAAAGGTCGTTTAAAACCTGAAAACTTGTAAACCCGTTAATAGTGAAAATAAAGAAACTTATCCTCGGAGATTTATATTTGATTAATCTAATTGATACAGAGGATTACAATTCTAATAAATATTGTATATACAGTTAAACCTGTCTATAGCGCCCCCTCTAAATAGCGCTTTCTTCACCAAACTCTGCAGCGCTGGCAGAGGCGGCATATTCATTGTACATAGTGTATATATAATGCATATTATCTTTTTCAAATAGTGCAGACTGTGCACTTTGAATGTATTGACAAGATGTCAATAAAATTATTTTAATTGTCAAATTGTCTAAATAGCGCCTCCCTCTCTATAACGCCCGATTTTAAATACGTAGTACGATGCGATTTACATTAAAAGTGACCTGTCTATAACACCCCCTCTCTATAGCACCCTTTTTTGGTGAGTCCCAAGAGGGGAGGGGGGGGGGGGCTATAGACAGGTTTAACTGTATAAGCTTGATTAAAGCCGAAGAAGAGTCTCAGATGAGAGACCACCTTCAGAAGAGACCAAATTTACCCATGTTTTAAAGGAAATAAATATTTATAGGAGACTCTACTGTAATTGTATATAAAGAAATTCTTATGTTTTTGTTTCACGATGTATCTTGATGCCATACCTAAACAATTATCACGGCATATTGTTTGTATCTTTAAGGACAACCAACATATCTACTTATATAATTGCCTTATTCTGTCTGTGTGAAGTTCACGGATAGATTTTGGTCAGAATGGATAAAATAAAAAAAGTGTCAAGGGATGGGAATCGAACCCACGACCTTCCGCTTACCGGGCAGATGCCATGACCACTAGGCTACCCTGGACATATTTTTCCGTTCATAAAGTTAATATATGATTATTATTTTAATTAAAACATTTTAAAAACACACAGTTTGGAACGGGACGTTTCACAAGAGTGACATCCATGGCGCAAATTTATAATTGTAACGAATAGTATTTGAATTAAAACGTTTTTAAAATATATACGCACTCGGGTAAAACCCGGGCGTTGCCCGGGCCATTCGTCTAGTATAGAATATCCGACATAATATGTTGAGGTTCTATTCTAAAGTTTATAAAATTTATTTCCCAAGTACTTGTGGTACAGACCGTAATAAACATGATGGGTAGTTAGCGACTGCTTTTTACTGTAATAGTACAGGTGTGCCATTTGTCTAGGCATGTAAAAAGTACTTATACTTTTGCACTTACAGTTATGCCAGAGTCCTGTTTAGTTAGTTGCACTCACTTGTGGATTTGGCCTTTTGCAAGAATAGTTAACATTGAAGCATTTTTCTTTATGATAAGGCAAATTTCGATTATAATATATACAGTTATCAGCGTTATAATCAATTCTTTCTTAATCAATTCTGTCACCGTTTGCTTTTGTGAATGGAATAAATACCCAAATATGGCCATTTCTCATAACCATCGGTGGTTCAGTGGTAGAATGCTCGCCTGCCACGCGGGCGGCCCGGGTTCGATTCCCGGCCGATGCATTTTTTTTTTTTTTACAATTTTTAAAACTCATTTATATATTATACAAGAATAACATCCACGGCGCCAATTTATAATTGTAACGAATAGTATTTGAATAAAAGCATTTAATCGGGTAAAACCCGGGCGTTGCCCGGTTCATTCGGCTAGTAGATTATAAACACAATAGATAGGTAATTAGAGCAAATCCAAATAAATAGTGTGTGACGTTTCAGTAACAACGCTGTTACCATCATCATTCAGTACTTTTGTCTGAAGACGGTAACAACGCTGTTACCGAAACGTCACACACTATTTATTTATTTGGATTTGCTCTTATTACCTTGTGTTCAGTAACCAAACGGAACTCTGGCACATTTGTAAGTTGCAAAGTCGAACTGCTTTTCACATGTGTAGACATGTGGTGTACTTACAGTAAAAGCAGTCGCTTTCTTCTACCCACCATGATTATCATGGCCTGTACCACGTGTGCTAGGGATAGGCAAAAAAAACAACTAGTTTCCATTTTTTCTTTAGGAAAAAAGTATCCAATGCGGGAATCGACCCCGGGTCGTGGGTATTTAAAATTCACGGTTTGCACCATCTGCCACCAATGCCGCTCTATTCCAAAGTGAAAAATTCATTATTGATTGATAACTACTAATAGACGCATAGACACAACGTAGCCTAGACATGTTGACCGATCTAACTAGGCCTGTCAAGATACCATGGGAAAGGACAGGTGACAGCTATCAAACACCTTATCTCACTAGCCATACCAAGGTTTGTCACCCTTTAAACATTTCGAGAAAAATGCCAAATCCGTCTACACAACTATATCCTTCTAAAGAGACAAGGGTCGCCTCTCCCGTCTAGTTTTGACGTCTATTTTGACGGGAGAGGCGACACTTGTCTCTTTAGATCAATATCCTCCCGGCAAAATTACCAACCATATCCTTATATATTGAATTGAAAGGTTCAATGGATATCTTCGTTAACACGTTTGAAACATCGGCTATCGTTCTATCACCGAAATTAAGCAATGTCAGGCCTGGTCAGTACTTGGGAGGGTGACCACCTGGTGCTATTCTATATTTGGGGCCTATTAGTTGTTCGGTTGGTTAGAGCAATCCTTAATTAAATAATTTAGATAATAAAAAGATATATAGTGGATTGAAAAAAAATATTATTATGCCACAATATTTCGGATGGCTGAACACCAACCTTTGTCAAAACATAAATATATTATCTCACAAATAAATAGTTTTTCAATCTACTTATATATTTGCCTTATTCTGTCTGTTTGCCTGTTTGTCTGTTTGAAGCTCACGGATGGGATTTTTCATAACCATCGGTGGTTCAGTGGTAGAATGCTCGCCTGCCACGCTGGCGGCCCGGGTTCGATTCCCGGCCGATGCATTTTTTTTTTTTTTTTTACAATTTTTAAAACTCATTTATATATTATACAAGAATGACATCCACGGCGCCAATTTATAATTGTAACGAATAGTATTTGAATAAAAGCATTTAATCGGGTAAAACCCGGGCGTTGCCCGGGTCATTCGTATATAATAATTGTATAAACGAATGCAAGACATAATCACCGCGAATGTTTCTTTTTTTTTAAGGCAATTTCTTTTTAAGGCAATTATCGTTATTTATCGTTAATTTTTGTTTCGATTTTATTGAAAAAAAAAACGATATGGTGCCTTTAAAAAATGATCTTTATTACTATGCAGTTTTCTATTTAGTCAATATACCTAAGTTCATGTTGCAAATGTAATTATCTCTATCGATTTAGTAGGTGAAATGCAAAAAAAAAAAAATCGACATGATGAAATCTTTATTAAAATTCACATTTTTATTTTTTTATTTTCAAGACACACACAGTTTGGGGCGGGACGTTTCACAAGAGAGACATCCACGGCGCCAATTTATAATTGTAACGAATAGTATTTTAATTAAAACGTTTTTAAAATATATACGCACTCGGGTAAAACCCGGGCGTTGCTCGGGCCATTCGTCTAGTATAATATATACCTTTCCACATTTCTAAATATATATATCAATATATTTTATATTTAAATAACAATTAATATACAGTTAAACCTGTCTATAGCGCCCCCTCTTGGGAATCACCAAAATAGGGTGTTATAGAGAGCGGGTGCTATAGACAGGTCACTTTTAATGTAAAATGTTCACATTTTAATGTTTAAAATCGGGTGCTATAGAGAGAAAGGCGCTATTTAGAGGGGGCGCTATAGACAGGTTTAACTGTATGCTCTATCAAAAATGATAAAGCACAATTTGGATTATAGATTATAATGCAAGAAAATAAGACCTAATCTTGATAACAGTACTATTTAAGAACTTGCTGTGATATTTTTCTCATTTATTCTTTTGTCTGATGATGGTGACAATGCTGTTGCCGAAACGTCACACACTAATAAATTATTTGGATTTGGTCTTATTTTCTTGTATTATATGCTCTATCATTTGATTGTTCTCTCTGCAATCATAAATGTTTTCAACAAAGGTTTATTAACTCGAAAAAGTAAAATCCTCTACAATATAAATCTATATATATAAAAGTCAATATTTGTATGTTTGTTTGTTTGTATGTCCGGTATACAAATTCGCAGTAGTTCACTAATTCAAACCAAAATTTGCATACATAGGTAAAAAACACGGGGAAGACGATAGGCTATTTTAAAAAATATATAAATCAATTATTAAAACTATATATTCAAATTATTCTACTTAGCTCACGAACAGCGCCCTCTATCAAAGATTTGATTAAATTATGCTGATGCAAACAAATAGATAATGCTAATAACAATTATAAAAAAAATCTTATCTAAATATATATCACTCGGGTAGATATGCACACGGGTCAATCCCGGGGCGAAGCCCGGGTCACCTGTCTAGTCTATATATATAAAATTGAATGTCTGTCTGTCTGTACTCTATAGATTCAAAAACCATACATCCAATCGCCGTGTAATTTTGGGATATTATTACGTATATCACCGGGAAGGTTTTTGAAAAATAATTTCATGAATATCTTGAATATCCTTAGAGTTATTTGCAGATTTGTATATTTAACTCGCAAGCAGCGCCCCCATTGTGACGATGATAACAAGTTTTCTTATCACTAAGTTTGTTATCTTAAATATTATTTATCAAAAGTAAGATTATCTCAGGATGACACGGCAATTTATTTGAGACAAGAATAATGATACAATTCCAAGGCGAAGATACTATTCCTTTAACTTCCAATTACCGAGGGAACCAATTAATATTGATTTTATTCAACTTATCGAGTATTTTTCAAGGGACCGGGAAAAAATGTTCACTAGATAAAACTATGATTTTCTAATGTATAAAATTAGGAAAGAGACAAAATTCAGGATGACACGGCACACAGGGACCGGGAAAAAATGTTCACTTTATCGAGAGATTCAAATTTACGAGTTTCAAATTATCAAAATATATCTTTTTTTTTTAAATAAGTTTTTAGAGAATTGTTTTAACAAATGTTCGCTAGACAAACCTTTACTCGGGTAAAACCCCGGGCGAAGCCGGGTACGTCCGCTAGTAATAAATAAACAAAACAGCTTCCCAGGATGAGAGTTTCTTGTTGTATTCATCTCAAGTATTCTCGGGTATCACAAATCTGTCTACAGGAGTATATGAAAGGTTTGGGATACCCGAAATCTTCATAAGAATATAAAATACAATAAGAAACTCATTCTATGAAGCCGTTTTGTTTATTAATTATGAAGGTTTATCGAATTAATTGAGTAATAATAGTGTTACGACGCTTTCCAGGGGTCACTGTTTGTAAACAAGGTTTCTAGGAAAACATTACGGGTTCGTTGTGTGTACAGCGGATATACTTTATTGCCAGGAGCTGTTGATGGAATAGAGAACTAGGTACACTTTGATGGACTTGTCTCTAATGTCGGCCACCAGAAAGATCCTCTTCGTCAACGGTCGGCACCCGTCCAGGTTGGGAAACTTCTCTGGGACCGTCTTGTAGGATCATTCACACGGCCACGCTACCTAAGATAACTTACCGCTTCTTAATGCACGACCGATGTCAAACTTCCACTTCCACAGAGCAAATATCTTAGCTGCGAAAGCTTTTGACTTTAGAATCTGATGTCCCTGGTTCGAACACGCTTTTCGTTATCTTTTTATTTTCTCTAATTATTTTTGTGATATTTTCCTCATTTTTGTAAATATTGACTGAGTTGTCAATAAATTTGTTTTAATTGTCAATTGTCCATAGAGCAAGTCAGCTTCAAGGTACCTTCCGCCAGCAGCTGCTATCCACCGCGTCTTCTTCAGGACTCCTCGCTGTCACCAGACTGTCTGTCTCATCTGACTCCTTCTTTGATCCCACCGTCCCCCTGGACCAGTTCCTTGACCCACGTCGTCTTGTCTCTTGTGAAGAGAGGAGTCAGATGTCACAATAGTAATGGTGATGATTAGAAGAATTCATCACTATATTGTAATGTAGAAGCATAGGTCGCCTCTCCCCTCAAAATAAACGTCAAAACCTGACGCCATCTATTGACCGTCGCCGCAACTAGTGGCCTCGGGTCGGTGACAAAGCCACAACACCAGCAAACTGAGAAGCGTCAGGCTTTGACGTTTATTTTGACGGGAGAGGCGCACTATGCTTCTATGGATTAATTTCCTCCCGGCAAATTTTCCATCTATATTGTAAGGTAATTAATTAGACAAATTAAACTTATCGATAAGATAAAATATTTTATTTGTGAATCTAAAGATCAAAATCTGAAAAAATTGCTAATCACATTCATTTACCAAAAAAATAAGCAAAATTGAAAGATTCTAGATGTTTCTGAATCATCATCAAGGGCAACAGATTATTACAAATAAATAATTCGGTGATAAATAAATTAAATTTTACAATATTATCATTCTTATATTCCCGGGTTGAGATTATTATTATTATCAAAAAGAAAACATATATCAATCAATACAACCTTTATTAATACCTTTACTCTAATATACAGATTATCCTCTGAGAGATAGTATACTAAAGAAGTATAAGTCATAATATTTATAAATTCTATATACAGTTACGAGCGTCATTCTTCATCAGTCATCTCTGTCACCGTTTGCTTTTTTTTTTTTTTTTTGGAATGGCGCCCTCCTATTGGTTGGCTTCGATCACGCCACCTTTGCCCCCCCCCCCCCCCACTCGCTTTTTCGTTTTTGTAACCATTGTGTTAGCGCGAATCGCTCTTTAAATAAATGCATATATTAGTTAATAACCAAATGGAATCCTCTCTTTCTTTTTCCCAGTAAGAGACGCCTACGGAAGCCAACAGTACATAGACAGATAAAGCACATAGGCTATAGTTATTAACTAATATATGCATTTATTTAAGGCGCCAATTTATAATTGTAACAAATAGTATTTGAATAAAAACATTCAATCTCGGGTAAAACACGGGCGTTGCCCGGGTCATTCGGCTAGTATATAATAAAATGGCCAGTGTGAGAGTATGATGAAAGTGAAGATAAACAACCCCCTTGGTTACTAGGTATCAGCCTTTACTTCCACTACCCCCCGGGGTTAATTTATCTTACTCAAAGTGTGGTTTAAAAGCACCTACATGTGATGATCAAGGGACAGTTCGCACCGAGGTGGTCTCGATACCAGTTGTTCCCAGGGTGGTCCTCGGACCTTCTATCTTTCCTCCCCGAACTACTCCACCTAGGTTTTTACCTCTGGATCCTGTGTGTCCTTACCACTGATTACACAACTACCACGACTGTTTCACAAATTGCTTATATATATTATTATTTATATATATAAACAAAGATGCATTCGAATTTCGACATCTTCAAGTGATAAGGGATAAACTTTTATTGAATTCACAAAGTTTTCTTCCCTGTAAAATGCTATCAATAGAATCTCTACTAAAGTTGGAATATTCCTTTATTTACAAAGCTCTTTTCTACAAGCCATTTATCTAAAGTATGGAACCCCGTTATCTCCACTCTCCAGTTTAAGTACATCTTCCCTCCTTACCTGAATTTCTACTTGTGTC